GGTGATTCCGGATCTCCCCTCCTTCCGCCGCGCCCTCAAGACCTGGCTGTTTCAGCAGGCAGGACTGGCCTAGGGGAAATTTTAAATTGGTTTTAATTGAATTTTAGTAGTGCGGCCGATTCGAATATTTATTTTTAATTTATCTTAGATTTGTATTTTGTATAATTGTTTTAACTGGCTGTAAGCCGCCCTGAGTCCTTCGGGAGAAGGGCGGGGTATAAATGAAATAAATCTATCTAATCTATAATCAATCTAATCTATCTATTTAATCTATCTATCTAATCTATCTATCTATCTAATCTATCATCTATCTATCTATCTATCTATCTATCTATCTATCTATCTATCTATCTATTAAACTTATTTGCCATCTATTTCACAGTGGGGCTACTCTGCTTGCAATAATAAAGGAAGAAAATGAAAAGAATGTAAATAGAACAAAATAACGAATATACTGTATATCTTTTCTCTAATAAAACATGTTAATTTGGCCATATCAGCAAGTTTTATGTTCACAAACTATTTCTGCGCTATAGATATTGCCAATAATCTTGCTGTATCATTTATAAAAACAAAGTTACATGTCATTTTCCCAACATTTTATTCTTCAATCCCAAGTCAATGGGGAATCCTAACACACTTCCCCAGAGGGAAGATTGCAAGTTGCTGGGTAAGTCTCTCCCACCTGCGCATCCCTCCCCATCCCCCCTGCACTTGTACCACTTGGACCACTCACACACTTTCCCCAGCCTTCACTGCGCTTTCCCTCTCACCCTTGTACACCCTGTGCTGCCTCTCTTGCATTCCCCTGTACCTCCCCCAACCCATGCAATACCGCTCTTGCACCCTCAAACTGTCTCTGACCCATGCTGTGTCTTTGCTCACCATCTCTGACCTTGCCAGGCTTCCCTTGTACCTTCACACCCCACCCTCCCCAACATGTGCATCTCATGAACCCTCTACCCCTTCCCCAAGTCGTCTCCCTTTATCCCCTACCTGGAAGCAGCCACTTAACTTCCTGCCTGGAACTTGCAACTTCCTGCTGAGTTCCCCATTGAGCTTGGGTGTGGAAAGCAGGAAGTTGCTTCACCTAACAACTATGGAATTCAATTAATGACTGCAACTGGGACTATAGGGATTGCCATCATTAGGCAACATGGTTGTGCTTTACAGATGCATCATTTAATGACAGCAATTCCAGTCCAATTGCCGTCATAAGTCGAAGACTACCTGTACGTGAACTTAGGGCTAATACACTACTGGCACATTTTTGTATAAAAGTCTAACCCATTAGACTTTTATACAAAAAGTCTAGTCTTGGGCAAAATTGTTCTTAGTAATTATTTGAATTATTCTTTCGTGTTCTGAAGTTACTCATTTTTTACCCTATGGTGTATGTCCAAATAGAGTAACAGAAAATGACAATGTTGAAAAAATAGCAGAGGAAACAGATTGTCTTCCTTTTTACATAAGCAGAGGACTTGCAATGGCTTCTTTCTACTTGGCCAGATGCCTCCAGCTTGGCCGAGGAACCCAACAAGATATAGCAGCAGCTAAAAAGTATTATTCTAAGGTAAGAAAGGGGTGGCTCTATCTTTTTAATTGGATGTGAGCTTACTTTCTTAAGTTTACTGTTAGGCTTATCTGTAATATACGAAACAGAATTATACATGAAAATTAAACAGTTTATAAAATATCTGAAAAGAACTAACAAAAACGTTACCAGATTGACTTAACTTGAGGCAAGTTAGGTTTGTGCCCCATTTGTTGTTTACTTCCACTTGATGTGAAAGATTTCAAAGCCAACTTTAAGATAGATGGTACAGACATAATCATAGAGATTCTAAATAGATCCTCTTACTATTCATGTGATTATCCAAGGCATGTATACTCTGCAGCCTGCACTCTTGCTGCTTTGAAGGACACTGTAATCTTAAGTGTGGGGAATACCAGTTTCCGAGTAAGTCTACCGTATTTCCAGGTTCATATGCTCCCTGCCTTCTCCACTTCCATTTTTAGATTAATTAAAGTTTACGGAAGCTTCACTTGTTAATATTAAGTAAAATTATTGGGAACAAATTAGTTTTATGAGCTATGGCCTGAAGCTAGCTTGTTTCTAGTAACTATAGTTAACATCACTCACTTTTTCTTCAAGCTCAGACCACATGGCAAGCTGCAAATACTCAAAAATGAAGTGAAAGCATTTGAATTTCTTGACAGCTATATTGGAGGAATGTGCTAACTTAGGTCGAGCTATGATTTAGTAGTATTCTTGACTCAGTCCCGTTTGTGTTTCAATTTTTTTAAAAAATTAAGTACCTTGTGACTGAGATTGGACATTTTCTGTGGAATAAATGTGAACATCCTCTATAAATAATCACTTTTTTTCTTTTACAAATATCAAATAAAA